AGGCTTTGGAATTATCATGGTCCAGGACATTGCAGTTTGGACGAAGTGAATAATGGAACAAATGACGCTGCTGAAGACGAGACACCTGAAGAAGCCACCGTCGAAGAAGAAACTCTAGTCAGTTTTGAGAAGGGAAACGGTGAAGCTCTTGATGAAGTTACTACCACTGATGTGACTGTTATCGACGATAGGACATTTCCTGATGAAGCAGATGAACCCCATATGAAGCAGAAGCCAACGAGACGGAGACCAGTACGGAAGAAGATACATCCCATAAAATTAAGATACTTTGTTGAATTGTAATTTTGTGTTTGTAATTCTGTACATTTTAATTGAGTTATTGTTATTGGTTTATTGTGTGTGGTTATACTTCAGGACGAACAATACTAAGAAGGGGCAGTGTTGCGTCAGCGAGGTCACGTGAATAGTGTCACGCCACGTTTCTAGAACTATCCTGTTCCTTCGGGAGTGCTCTAGCATTTGCTAGATTGGGGGTGGACTGGTATATATATATAAGATGGTCACAGCGTGACGGGATAATGTGTGTAGGTAGTGAGTAATTGAACTACAATCAGAAAGTATTGTTGAAGTTAACGTTCGTTGTTAAAACGTTTGTTATAGAGCGACTGTTGAAAATAATTGTATCGGTAAAGTTATATTCAGAAATAATAAACCAGTTTTATTAAGTAAGGACTTGTGTCGCTAAAGTTTCGTCGGAACGAAGTTACAGAAAATCAATTAACAAACGGAGACGTAACAGTATATTCAATTAGTTATGTTCATTACCAGGTATATTCTTAGTTTCTGATCTATGTAAGTAACTTTCCTTAATCAGAAGTTAATACTGATTATGACAGAATTTAGGTGGACACTCATCTATAGTCTTCGCCAAAATGTTTACATATTGTTCTATATTGATGTTATTGTCTACATGCATAAAGTAGCAGTTGAGTAAATGCCTGAGTAGTAACAGAAAAGGTAGAGTATGATTGGACAAATATGTACGAGTTGCTATTCTGGTCTGTATAAGTTGGTTTGAGCATTTGTTCGTTAAAACACACACATACACACCTGTTTTGTATAAAGGGTGTGCTTTTGGTATAATCCATAACGAAACAGGTCAACACTTTATTCAAACAGTTTCTCTGTGCTTGGTGCAGAGTTATGCCTCGTCAAGTGCCAGAAGTTATAGGGTGTCGAATTGTTCGACTGTCCAGAAATGGTATGTAGCAAATGAACATTCCCAGAATAGTAGGGTGCCATCAATGTACTGTATCCAGAATCCTGGAAATGTCATAGGACTAAAGGAAACGCTGTTCCAGGAAAGTCTACTGGTAGACGCCGAAAAACTACTGCAGGAGATGATCAGCAGCACAAATGAAGAACTACATTTTACATCTCAAAGAATTAATTTGATACATTGACATATCTTTCAGACTACATTTTTTTTTCTTTAAAATTCTTGATTTTTCGAGAAAAGTTTAAATATTGTTACGACAGCGGAGGTTACGTGACGCTAGTAACACGTCACGCGCTTCTAGAACGTTCCTGAAGATTTCGGAATTCTTATACATATAAGACGGTCAAGACGTGACGGCAACAATGGGTAACTGAACTGCGGACAGAGAGAGACGTATTGTTGAGCACGTGAGACGTTCGTTGTGAATTATAGCGTTTGTTATAGCGTGACTGTGGAAATTAAGTGTATTGCAAAGTTTTATTCAGAAAGAATAAACCAGTTTTATTTAAGAAAGGACTTGTGTCGCTAAAGTTTCATCGGAAAGAATTTCTACGGAAAATTAACTAACGAACGGAGACGTAACAATATTTTTGTTCCGATATTTGTAAATTGTTCCTGGAAACTTTCCATAAAAATGTCAATCTATTATGATAAATATATTTAATAATGAACTTTGTAATGAGTAGGGATCAAATTGATCTGAAAATCTGATATGTCTAACATGAAATTCAGTTTATGAGGAGCTGAATCTAACATATCAATGTACGTTAACTACACAGAGGGCAAACTGGTGACATGCACACGCTTAAACACGCAACAATACGATTAATCTCTACAAATATTTAGCAGAGCTTTTCGTCCTAGAACTAAAAAAAATACATTGAATTCGCAGCTTTAACATAAATCTTGATAAAAATAAACATTTAATGACCTGTCGTTTTGTGATGATAAAATGTTTTCATCGCCTTGTCATGATCGAGTACTTTTCTTCTGTGCCCTCTGATAGCTCAATATCAAGGCTAAGGGCTTGTAATGCTAAAAATCGCGTTTCCATGCCCGCGAAGGGAAGAATACAGTAGCCTATCTTGTGTAGCTTTGTGCTTAAAAAGAAACAAACAAAAGCCCTCTTCTGCCAAAAAATAATAAGAAAAATAACAAGTTATTCCGCATAAAATTTCATCTGTTGAATAATGATTTTCCAAAAAAAAAAAAAAGACTCTAGTGTTTCAATCACGTGATATGTGCTGCACTCCTATTCCTTATTTTTGTAATCTTGGCCTTTGGACATAGGATAACCATCAGACGGTAGTTTGTAGCTCAAAACTGAAGCGTAATTCTTACGGAACTGATAAAATGAATTTAAACACTAGTATTTCTTACAATATAAACATAGTTGAAAATGTTACAAAAAATTATTCTCAGTCAGAAAATCACGCAGATGGGGAACCTCTGCTTATTAAGAAAATTCACGACGGTATCATCGTTTTTATTCTTATAACCATTATGCTTGCTATGGGATGTAACATCACATTACCTCAGGTATGATTGGTTTGCTTTAAGATATGTATATGTATGTAAAGATAAGTAGGTATACACGCATATAAATTTTGCTTTCTTATACTTGATTTTTTTTTGGGGGGGGGGTTGTGCTATAATCACTAACTCATTCATATTTCTCAGATTGCCAAGTTATGTAAATTAGCTCAGTGGTTTATTATCGATCTTACTGAGGAAGTTTTGGCAATTTTATAAATTAATGGTTTCTAAGGGTTCTTTCTCATTTTGTGAAATTATCTGAACGTAGCTAGTTAAAACCAAACTCTCTCTATATATATATATAAATATTAAGACCATTTTATATACACATTTCAGAATACTACAAATGCACGTGCATGCGCTATCTTCTTTTGAGAAATGCCCCTGATTCACTATCAGGAAATTTTAACTTGATTAGGAATGAACAAACTAACCAAATTAGATACCACAAGTATGAATGAATATACCAATAAATGTCACATCACAAGTATCAATATTTGGGATAATTCAGAAGATGCATATTACAAAGTAAAACCAAAAACACATTTCTGTAGCAAAATAGGTGTAAATATATAGCTTATATCTAAAACAAATATAACCCTGATAATATTTGGAAACTCAACAACAACAAAGAAACAAACAAAAAATTGGAATTTTAGGAAAAATTTACTTTAAAGTTTGGAGACGGCTTGAATGGGTAATGAGAAAAACTTAATTATAAATGTACAACGTTTCGACAAGATTACGTCATCATTAGTTTACATAGACTCAGGAAAATATATATATATCCAGTATGGAACAACTGACTACATAGATGAAAAAATCAATTTTATAAAGCATTCCTTCATTCACACCAACAAATTTCCACCAAATATTGTCGAAACATTTCCACACAACCACCAGAACAAATATCTCAAACTTACAAACAAAACTGACACCAATACACCAAACAACAACAACACAACATTACACTGCAGTTTACCATTTATCCCTGAAATCAGCTCAAAAATAATCAGTACTTGGAGAAAACTTGTCATTAAACATAAAATTTCTGTTGACTTCAAAATTCGCTCAAAAACTTGGACCTAAACTAAAATCATTACTAAATAAAAATCATATAGAATCACACAATACCAATGCTGTTTATAAAATAACGTACAATAACTGTCCAAAATTCTACATCGAAGAAACCGGTATAAAATTTGAAATCAGACTCACGGAACATCATAAAAACCTTCCCATGTTTACCACCAATGCAACTAAAAAAACCACAGAATATCTTTACAAACACTGTAATTTTAAACAAAAAAACAAACATCAATAAACGCAAAATAAAGGAAGTTATCTTAATTGAACAAAACAGCCTCACTCTAAACCAACACCCGGGATACCAAGATATTTTCACTAAGCTGTTATGAAAGCATCGATCATGTAACCTCTTTGTTGCATATATATATTCCTTTTAATGCTTGGAGACGGCTTGAATGGGTAATGAAGTTAAACTTATATTAAAGTTCATTACCCATTCAAGCCGTTTCCAAGCATTATTAGTCTCAAAGTGGGTTCCTCGTCATCGAATATATTCCTTTGTCTTTGTAAACTATTTGTGCCTGATGATGACATAATCTTGTCGAAATGTTGTACATTTATAATAAAGTTTTCCTCATTACCCATTCAAGTAGTCTACAATTTTTTATTTTGTAAAATATGGGTTCCTCGTCGTCAAATTTAAATCCACAAATAATCTTATTTCACAATATGAGTCATACTCTTAGAAACATGTGACGCCTCACTTCCGGTACAAAGACCACGTGAATTATAGACATGCTTACTATGGTCAATCGCCATTTGACCCTTCTTAAGGAAAGTTCACTTTCTGAAAGCACTCTGGTTATTGATTTTCTTTTCAGATGCCACTTTGTTGTTAATCTGCGTGCTTTGGAATATCGTATTCTTATTTAGATTAAACACGGTTCTTGATGTGGCCATTACTAAATGTAAGTCTTGGGAAGAGGCCAACAAATCTATTATCTAATTTGATACGATGACAAGGAACCCACTTTCGGATAATAAAATTTGAATACGGCTTTTCTTCATTACCCATTCAAACCGCCGTCAAATCTTGTACCTGATTGTCTGAAGGTTATCTGACAAACAAGCGATTAAACGTTTTTTGTATATTTAGCTTTATGGAGCGAAGCGAAGTAGAGATGAGTAAAAAAAAAATCGGGGTACCGGCGTTCTTCACATATGCGCTATACATATTAAGCCCTTACCGATGCGGTAAGTATTCAATATTAAGGAAACTTTCTGTCTGTCTGTAGACGCATCTCCCCCTAAATGAGTTGACGGATCCACACCAAATTTGGCATGCTAACTTAGTAGTCCAAAAGCAAACTAAATTCAAATGAAATTTTCCTATATATTGAAAAATTAAGATATTTTATAGAATAACCTCTATTTCTTTATTGGAATAGTTATTGTAAATAGTTGAGTTTGAACAAAACTTGCACCACAACAAAATTTTCCAAGTCAAAGTTTCTAAATAAAATGTTCAGCATTTTGCCTTGTTTCCTATAATAACCAGTAGTAAAAGACCCAGCTACAATACGGGTGTTATTTCATTTGGTGGTTGTTTGGTCGTGTGACTTGGAAGGATCAGGTACATCTGGACCTCTACCTCCTTCCTTGACTATTAATTTGGTTCTTGAGTGTTGGATGAAGCCCACTTTAATTCTTCAGTAGAATACGGTCCGATAGCTAGGAAAACCTATTCTTACATCATGCAGTCATTGTATGCATGCAGCAATAGTTCATTTGCCATTTTCCAGGTCGTGTCCGTGAATGTATAACGCCAAGTTTTCTGATATAAGCTTCTCTTTTTTGTTCATTGTCAAAATAAAGTTTTGTTCACGTAAACAGTTCCATAAATATCAACTGAAAACATATAGCACTGATTCTATTTTCATATAAATAGAGCCTTTTAAAATACAATTAATACTACATCTAGGTACCGGTTTGCCCATAGATTACATAAAGAGTTTACTAGATTTATTAGAGAGAGGTACTTAGGTCTATTGTCACCATGTATGATAAAGCTTTTCAGCATTTCCAATGATTCTTTTTTGTTAAGATTTTTGTAAAAGTAATCTATTGATATATTTGAAGTCTGTTTGACAACCCTGGGGATGTTTGCGTTATTCTGTAAGAATGTAGTATTTGTGTATCTAGGAGCTCTGTATGCTTTAGTGATTATTGAATTTTGTAGTGTTTGTAGCTTGTTTACGTATGATTTGGTTTACATTTAACCATGCTGGGCAGGCATGCTCTGCCATTGGGCGTATGTAGGTTTAATATATTTTGAATATTTTTTTTTCTGTTGTTATTTGTTTTTGCCCATGTTGTTGCTAGTCGTGTGTCGTACGTAATTCGCTATTTGCCAGATTTTATTTCTAATTTCATTTATGTGTTTAGTCCAATTTAATTTAGAGTCGTAGCTTAGACCCAGGAATATGGCTACCTGGAGAAGAGTTTCGTAAAGGTATAATTTTGGGGGCTGTTTGCTCTTCTTGTTTGGTTTTGTGAATGATACGATTTGTGTTTCATGGGCGTTTATCTTGATTCTCCATTTGTTTCAGTAGTTTTCTATTTCATTTAACCGTGGTTGTATATTTGTCGCTGCTATAGTTGGAGTGTGGGAACTCTTCCAGATAGCCACATCATCCGCAAACTGGGAGCAAAAGCAGAAATTTGGATCAGACAGTGGCATTTTACTCACATACATTATGAATAGAATAGGGCTAATTACCCCATCTTCTGGGATACTTGCCTCAGGGTTAAAATACTCCGAGAAGATGCCTGACACATTAATTCTGGCTTTCCTGTTTTCTAGAAAGTTGGAGAGCCAGCGAATAATAACCTGGCGGTAGTTTGTTACAATAGATATTTTAGTCTGTTATCCCATACAGTGTATAATGTTTTCTCTAAATTGAGAAAGTAAGCGACGGCGCATTCATTTCGGTTAAAACTATCTACTATTGTTTCTGTAGACATTACTAGATGGTCTGTTGTTTGTCTTTGTTTACTAAGTCCATTTTGTATTTCCGGTAATTTTTGTGTCAGTTCGAGATATGCCATAAGTCTTGAACTGACGATTTTCATAGTAGTTTTCTAATACAGCTGATTGGTCTATAGCTTTCTGGTTTACTTGCTGGCTTTCCTTCTTTCAGAAACATTAAAACGTCCGCTATCTTCCAAGCAGTCGGTATGTATCCAGGTTTTAGGGATAGATTAAACATAACAGCTAAATGTTCGTACAGTCTGGGTGTGTCTTTTCTTGATTAGTATATATTGTATTTTGTCATGTCCAGGAGCCTAGTATTTTGTCATTTTGAGAGTGTTTTGTATTCTAGTACTGTTATTGGTTTTATGAGTTGTTGAGTCGTTTTTCTTGATTGTTGCTACTTACTGGTTGAACCTCTAGGGCAGTGCTTCTCAACTGAGTGAATGGTTCACCTAGGGGTTTTGTTTACTTTATGTTGTATTCATTCTAGTTGTAGTTTGATGCATATTTAAGTCATAATAAAGAATTTTGCATTTTAATTTAATACTTTTTCGTCTTTTTCCGAACTGGGTTAGCTGTTGTGAAAAACTTGTAAAGGTGAATGATATTGAAAAAGGTTGAGAAGCTGAGTGAATATAGGACCTCTAGACTCTAGAGGACCAACTGGGAAGGTGGGTGAATATAGGACCTATAGACTCTAGAGGACCGACTGGGAAGGTGGGTGAATATAGGATCTCTAGGGGACCGACTGGGAAGGTGGGTGAATATAGGACCTCTAGGGGACCGACTGGGAAGATGGGTGAATATAGGACCTCTAGGGGACCGACTGGGAAGGTGGGTAAATATAGGACCTCTAGGGGACCAACTGGGAAGGTGGGTAAATATAGGACCTCTAGAAGACCAACTGGGAAGGTGGGTGAATATATGACTTTGTTTGTGT